ACACCCTGAAACAACTTCATTAGCTTTTCCTCTTCTTCGGCCTTTTTATTTGCTTTGTTCTGAACTCCATGTGACTTTCTGAAAGAGCACCAAATTGTTTTGCATTAAATATTGCATGAAGAAATCACATTTCTTATTAAAAGACTAAAACAGACCATATTTTAAACATGAACTGTAATTTTCTTCAGGGATTGGAGATGTATTGTAACTTCAAACGGAAGACTGGAGATGACATTACATGTCATTTCCACACAACTTACAGTTGGTTAGTGCAAATTTTAACAAAGAGCTTGAACTTTACTCAGGCTGGGTAGAGGGGAGGGCAGCAAGTAATCTAAAAGCTTCTGAAAAGTCTGAAATGTTGAGCTTCCACAGGAGAGCTGTATAATGGAGAAAAGCAGATCAACTGCCCATTCTAAAAGATCATGATGCAAACCAATTGCAATTTTTAAAGAGCAGATATCCTTGCCATTTACTTACCCAATAGTTTAATTACCAGTGACTCTAGTCTAAATGTTAAAATACAAATTTGTACTTCACGTTGACCAAAGTTGATGACATTGACTCGCTGCTGTTGATCAATAACTTAAGGGCAGTGAAATACAAAAATACTGCTCCACATTACATACAATGTGTCATTATCAACAAAGTAGACACCACACTTTCACAGACATTGAACAAGAATCCATGAAAAATATGTTTAAGTAATTCATGCTTCACAGTACTTTTCTTAAAAAAAAAACTGCAGTAACAGAACAAGAGACAGTAGAAACTGCCTATGCTGGAGAATCTGCGATAACAAGGTGTAGAGCTGGATGAACACAGCAGGCCAAGAAGCAGAGGAGCAGGAAAACTGACGTTTTGGGTCTGGACCCTTCTTCAGACCCGAAACGTCAGCTTTCCTGCTCCTCTGATGCTACTTGGCCTGCTGTGTTCATCCAGCAGTACACCTTGTTATCTCTGTCAACAATCAATATTTGTTCTGTTACTAAGGCAAATATAGCGCTAGGGAAGTTAAAGTACGAATACCGCAAGAAAGGACTCACGAGAATCTTTAGTATCAAGTGCAGAAGTTTACTGAATGCATATTAAAAGCTTTTAGAAGTAAGCAATCTCTTGGATTTGGACAAACTATTAACGCGTATGTTTATCGTTATTATAACTGCTGAATTACTCCCAATGTTAAAATAAGCAAAACACCAGCCCAAAAGGCGACTCATTTTCAGTGACCCCAATGTCAATCCCACAGACACCTCTTCCTCCACAAAACTTTCCATTTTTGTACAAGGTTGAATGCCAACTCTATTTTATGAAATAATTATTTCCAGTATTTGAATGGTATTACAGTACAATATCAATTATATCAGGACTTTTCCTGATTAAAAGAAGCTGTCTTCTTACCCAGGGTTGGAATTGTTCTTATTACTTTTGGAGAGCTGGTTTCTTGCTGGAGGACCCACTTCTTTCACAGCCTCATCCCAGAAGCCCACGTTTGTGTTCTTGTGGTCTGGAGCACCCCAAACACTGCTAACGTCTGTTCCCCACTGGTTGGTGGGACTGGTGTTTACTGAACCCCATACTGAAGTAGTGCTAACTGGTAAACTGGAATGCTAAATGAAACAAAGACAGCAAATAACGGATCTGCTCTTTTCAATATGAAAGAGCTTAAAAAAATTATACTGCAAAATATTATACACATTAAATAGTCAATACAATCTGTTGCCAATTTTAAAACCCATTAAAGTTTCCACATTAATTGAAAGGGGGTAAGCCTACAGAAAGCAGTGGGACAGAAGGGTCGGCCGGAGCGGGGAGGGAAGACGAGGAAGCCACGAGGGGGCAGCTGGGCATATGTCTTACAGTTGCATTTGCATTGATCCTCAACAGCAAGAAATATACAAATTAATAAATCCCTTGGACATCTGACATAAACTATCTAAAACTGTTTCAAAGCTTGCAAAATTCATTCTTCAACCAAATATTATTTCATAATGGAGGTTTAAATGGAAACCTAGCAAATATTCATATCATAGCACATGGTCAATTACACAAATAGAAAGAAAGAAAAAAAATGCAATGACAAGCAACTTTATCAAGAACAACAGAATCCTGATTTAATACAGTTGAACAGTTTCTACTCGGGGAGTGTCAGCCAGCTATTTCAGCATAATTGCTTTAAATGAGCTCTCATTCTTTTATGCAAGCTGCAATCACTAAGTCTAGACGATAGAAACCAAAATTACTTCAATAGATTGAAATGAAACAGAGGGTGATTTGCACAAAAAGTAACTTTAGGGAAAGGTAATTGCAATTCAATTGATCATGCTTAAACTATTCTGCAATTGCTAATACCAGCAATCATTCAAATTTACTGAGTACATTTTTCATTTATTAATAGACAAAAATTAACTGGATGAAAACTGGGAGTTGATCAAATAAAACATTGTTGTAATGCATATTATTCTTTTCAATCTATCAAAAGAAACGAAGGTAAGAAAACACAAGCTGCAGTCATTTATTAGGATTTCTCCATATTACCTTAACTGATTACATTAGAAACAATACATTTTATATTTCAACATTATAATCTTTTGACACAAAATGTGTCCCTCAATTCCACTGAGCTGCTACTCTACAATTCTAAGGCTCATTATTTTTCTGTGAAAGGTTATCGTTCTGAAACATCAACCCTCTACAGATGCTGCTTGAAATGCCTTCCAGTGTTTTCTATTTTTATGTCAGATTTCTACCACCAGCAGTATTTTGGCTTTTTATTTTAATATAATAACTGAACTGACTCATTAAAGTGAGCTGTGAGAGCTGGAGATATAGGAAGTACTTACTATCCAAAAATTAACCGGTTATGCAGCTAACAATGGATGGCAAAATAACTTCTGCTCTTTGACAAGGCAAATGCATTAGTTGAACAGCCTATTGAAATCAACATGGTTTTACAAGAGGGAAATCGTATTTGACAACTTTTCTGGTGTTTTTAAAGAATGTTAATTCACAGGATAGATAAAAGGGAAACCAGAAGATGCTGTACACCTTTATTTCCAATAAGGTACCACCCAAAACTCTAATGTGCTAGAAGTCCATGGAGACAGGGGTAGTATGTTAACATAAATAAGTTGAATGTGAACACTTCCAAGACGGCTGTGACTAGGGGAGTGCCACAAAGAACAGTCAGCCCCTCGAGCATATTGCACCGTTTAATGAGATCATAGTTGATCTGTGGCCTTACCCCAAATACCTTCCCTTGGCCCATACCTTTGCTGAACAAAAAGTGATCTCTCAGATTTTAAATTAACTGATTAAGCATCAACTATCATTGTGAAGAGTTCCGAACCTCTACCATCCTTTGTCCGGAGAGGTGTTTCTCCTAACATCTCTCCTGAATGGTTTGGCCCTAATTTTTAAACTCTGCCCCTTAGTTCTACAATCACCAGCAGTGACAGTAGTTTATCAACCTTGTCTTTTCCTATTAATATTTTGAAGCCTATGATAAGATCACCCCCTAACCTTCTAAACTCTAGAGAAAACAGGCCTAATTTGTATAATCTCTCCTCATAACTTAAACCCTCTTGGCCAGGTATCATTCTTGTGCAAATATGTTCTATTCCCTCCAAGCCAAATATATCCTTCCCAAGATGTGGTGCCCGGATTTGACCACAATACTCCAAATGGGGTCTAACCAAGGTTTTGTGCAACTGCAGCCTAATTTCAGGGTCCTTATACTCCAGTATCAATGCTGGGGCATCAACAATTTATAAGTTGACTTATACAAAGAGACAGTAGTGTATCAAGTTTGATGAGTTGAAGTGAGATGGGAAATGTAAACTGTAAGGAGGAAGTGAGAGATTATTCACTTTGATGGTAGAATTAGCAAAGCAGAATATTGTTCAAAAGGTGTTGAACGAGTGTTCAAAGGGATTTGGACGTATTTATACAAGAAACAAATGTTAGTGTACATGTACAGCAAGTAATTAAGATGGCAAATGTCTTGGCATCTATTACAAGGGGATTGGAGTATAATGCAGTCTTTTACAATTATTTGAGTATTGTTGAGACCACATCTGGAGTACCTATAGTTTTGGTCTCCATCATCAAAAAAGATTATTCTTGTATTGGAGGAAGTACAATGAAGTTCACTGGATAAGTTCCTCAGATGAGAGAGGTTGTCCTACTTTGCAATGCTAAGTACATTGCTTCCATATTTACACGAAGTTAGAAAAATGTGCGCAATTCTGTTGAGATACACAAAATTCTGAAAAGATGTGACACAGTAGACATCAAAGAGAACTAAAAACAAATTACTGAGAAAGCTCAGCAGGTCTGGCAGCATCTGTGGAGAGAAAGCAGAGTTAACATTTTAAACATACATCTGAGAGATTGTTTCCCATGCTAAATAAATCTAGAATATGGACAGCAGAGTCTCTGAATAAAAGAAATCAGTTATTTAGGACAGAGAGAGCAGGAGAAATGTTGACATTCATAGAGTTACAAGTCTGGAATTGTCTACAGCAGCAAATTTTGGATGATTACATTGCTGAGTATATTTAAGATCAAGATCGAGAGATTTTTGGTTACTTGGAGAATCAATGAATTTGTTGTGCAAAAACAGTGCAGATGAAGCAGGAGGTCAGCTATGATCAGTGAATGATTGATCAGGCACAAGGAGCCACATGTTATACTCCTGCTTCTATTCCCAAGTTTTATCTTTGCAAGTGTAAAAAAAAAACTTGATAAATCTTTTACAGATGCTGTAAGAATAGTACTGTGATAAGAAATCTTTGCAGAATATGCACTTGAATTTCTATGTTAGCTCTTCCCAGGACAAGGAAAGTATTTTTCACTTAGCCCTATCGTCCACATAATATTGCATAACTGAGTCAATTTGTTGGACACATTTTTCCCCCATTACAATTGCTTCCATTAAGCTATTCTTCTCAAAACTCACGTGGTTCCGCTCTGATCCTATTCGCTTGGTTGATGGTTCCTCTCTTTTCATCGTTATGGTGTTTTTAAACGATGACTCCTCATGACCAGCAGAGAGATTTAGCTTCACTGCTGCTGACTTATTTTGGGGATGCAGGGAGAGGAAAACAATGTAAAAGAGAAAGCTATGTCATCAGGAAGTCATAGAGAGCAATACTTTATTATAAACAATTAAGCTCAAGAATCTTTGATTCATATAAACTAGGTGAAAACAAACAATCAAACGGAATTTCAATAGTACTGCTTTCCGTCTCCTGCTGCAATTTCAGCAAAAACCATAGATGAATAGTGTCAGCATCCACATATTGATAATTTTGAACGCAAGTAATAAAAATCAAAGACTCTCACTCCACTCTCTTGAAATTTTAGGGAAATTACTTGAAATGAATTTAATACTCTTAAGTATCTTACTTGCAAGCTGAACAAGAGATACAGGTGAACTTAAAGCACTGTTTTTCCCAATTGTTTCAAGGGTTGGAGAACAGAAATTGGTTAAAATCAGCTCAATAATCAGAAAGACATGGATTCATGAGGAATGAATTAACTTAAGTTAAATTAGAAACAATGGTTCAGATTTTTCCAGTTTCAAGACTGTCACAATATTCCCATACTTCTTCACAACAGTTATATCGATAGCAAAACAATAAAGGCGTGCTTGACCGTTAACAACACGAGTTTTAATGTGGAATATTGAGATTAGAAATTGAAGGTCAACTTTGAGAATATGCCTGGAATTGGAAAAGAAATTATAGATTTCAATTTTCTTCTGTCACAAGTTCTCTCAGCAATACAAAACTTAGCAGAGATAATATTTGACTAGCTTTCATATAGATAGATGATAGCAGCTTAGATTGGAAAGTCACAGGTGTGACAAAACATAAAAGGATCAAACTGAAAAGTCTGAGTAGGTGCATGAATAGTGCAGAATAGAAGACTTCCACAGCCCAGAAGGATGATCTCACTCAAAAGGTACCTCCAATTAGTATTATTTGATTGTTTTTTCGAAGTTTTCTTCTCCAAGTAGTAACACACTTTTTAAAACTTATCAATTTGGATTAGACAACTCTTTCCAGAAGAGTAACCCTTTGCAACAGCCCTTTGTGGTAATCAAACTCTTATTCTTTTATTTATTGACTCCCAATGTTACGATTACTTGACTAAATTATGCAGCAAGAAATAGCTTGATAGTAGGAATATAACTAACAAGTAGACATAGGTAGAATTCTGCATTTCAAGAACACAGAGTATATACAAAACTGAGTGTGTTAAATGTTTTCTGTTACAACATTACTGACGAGTGTATTAGGAAGCTTATGGAGAATATCTTTCTCAGAGGAATCTGAGTACAGATGCTCAAATTATATACTTGATGTTTTATTTACAATTGGGATCTAGTGGCAATGATTTACCAAAATCTACTGAGCAGGAAGATAAATTCTATATTATACAAGTGTGGTAAGTGACTAAGTGTAACGAATGACTCAAGATTTATTTTAATTTCTTTATTTTAGGTTAGCAAAGGTCTACGAAGTTAGCCGTGAAGGAGACCTTTACTGTTTTGCACGTTCTGTAACGCAATGAATGGTGCCTTACATTCATTGTAAGTAAAGAACACTGCTGTAGATATTTAAAGTGATAATGGTTTACTTAAGCTAGAAATGTTGTATTTGGTATGGTAGAAAGCTTGGACTTGGTTTATTTCCAGTGAAGTTAGATTGACAACTTGATGCCAACTAATTTATCATCAAAAGTAATTAAATTATTTTAACTGTTCAACCCTTCTATCATTAGTCTTGACCAAATCATGACTAAAGTCTGAAATTTTCTGAACCAGGTTTTCAGCTAATTTTTCAAAAAACATAGCATTAAACGTAGCTAGCATTAAAAACAAACACATCCCACACAACAATTATTTATTTAGAATACTTACCGCTCTTGTCTGTGCTTTGTTCTCCTGCTGTTTTTGCATTTGCCTGAACTCCTCTTGCTGTATCTCCAAAAGTGATTTGGTAGTGACTGAAGTTTTGGGAATATTCCCCCATCCTGTCAGTTTCTGCTGCTGGTTTTGTTGTTGCAAAACTTTCATCAATTCCTGCTGCTGCCGCCGTTGCTATTGGTAAAGAACAATACACAACCAAGGATTGGCTAAAATATTTACGAAAATATAACCCTGGTTTGGTCTCAACTGGAATGCTGCATCCAGCTCTGGATGCCAGACTTTAGGAAAGGTGTAAATGAGTTAGAAAGGGCAAGGCAAAGATTCAAGACAACAAGCCAAGAGATGAACTTCAGTTACTAGATGTACTAGCAAAGTTTGGACTGCTTTTCTTGAAGATGAGAGGAAATCTGATAAAGGTGTTCAAAATCATGAGGAGTCTTAACAGAGTAGACAGGGAAAAAACGCTTTCTTTGGGAGAAGGACCAGGAACAAGATTTAAGGTAATTGACAAAATGCTCAATGGGAGAGGTGACAGCCAAGTGGTATTACTGCTAGACTGTTAATCCAGAGACCCAGATAACATTCTGGACCCAGGTTCAAACCACGCCACGGCAGATGGTAGAATTTGAATTCAATAAAATATCTGGAATTAAGAACATAATGATGACCATGAATCCATTGTCAATTGTTGGAAAAACCCATCTGGTTCACTAATGCCCTTTAGGGAAGGAAATCTGCCATCCTTACCTGGTCTGGCCTACATGTGACTCCAGACCCACCGTAATGTGGTTGACTCTAGGGATGGGCAATAAATGCTACCTAGCCTGTGACGCCCTCATCCCATTAATGAATTAAAAAACGAGGAAAAACATTTGCATGCAGCAAGTGGAGGGGATATGCAATACACTTCCTGAGATTGTGAAAGAGGGCAGGTTAAGTCAGGGCATTCAAGAGGGAATTATTATAGGAATGTGAAGGTGGTGCGAGTGGCACCTGATAAACTGCTCCTATAGAAGCATACCATACAACAATGTAGAAAAAGCTCTCTTTCCATGCTGTAACAATTCAGTGATACTATTAAGCATAAACAAAAAATTGACTTCACCTGAAACGATACAGAAATGTTCATAAATTTTTTTTTTTTTTTTTTAAGAAAGACTTGATATCCTGTTTGCATCCAAGATCAACAGCACCTGGAAATCAGATTCCCCTAGACTGTCCATCATATTTTGATCTTAATCAAATGATACCTGGTGCAAGTAGATTCACAGTTCAGCAGAGACTGCTGCTGAAGGCCTCAAGCATGCATTTGTGAACAATGCAAAGGCAACATAGCATTGAACATGTTAAAATTTACACAGTGCAGAAGAACAGTTTAGTAACGAGGGCAATGAAGAAACTAAAAGTTGATAAAAGCACAGTTAAGACCTTTAGTGGCAGTGGAGGTAAGAATAGAAATAGACAGTGTTATGAAAGTGAAAGTAAAAGGTCTAAGTGATGAGTAGAATGTTAAAGTTGAAGTGTAACAACGTGCTAAATAGGATGCTAAATTCCACATTGCTTTTGCAGATGAAATAAGGCTATCAGTTGTTAAAAGGGATAAAGCGTTGGCATTTGAGTGGGGGATTTATAAAAAAAAAAAAAAAAAAAAAAAAAAATCGGTGCCGATTGAGCACAGATGTTCTTTTGTCTTCCCAAAGTTCAGTTGGATGAAAGACGGACTTAACTGGCATCAAGCAGACAGCAGAAAGATGATTATGGATCAAAGAAATTGAGATATAGAACTATACTTTTTTTGTTACTCAGTGGATATCTCAAAATACTAAACTAAACTGTCAGATGTAAAAGCAAAGACTTTTCTGCTTTTAAGAATGAGGGGATATGTTTTGAGAAGTATGTATCTTATTCATTTCCAAATACATAGGAAACATTTACTCTTGAAACAATGTGTAAAAACAATTGATGAATAACATTAAGCATTGAGTTTATAAAATGTATTAGTGACTTAAAGATTTAGAGAAAAGCTTCAATATACATCTTTAAATATACCGCATTACCTCTTCTCGTAGCTGCCGCTCTCTTTCCTCTTCCAATTTCTGTATTTCAGCTAGTGGTAGTGTATTCTGGGTTTGCGATGAAACTGAAGATGACTGCTGGCCCCATGTTGAAGAGGAAGGAAGCTAAATAAAAAATACTAAAATTATAATAAAACTAAAAACAAAAGTTCAAGAATATCAAGTACAGTAGTTTTGGTTTCAGACTAGCATAGCTGATTTTCTATTTGTACTCAATAGACGGAACCAAAAAGTTTAAGTCAGTAGTGTTCATCAGTTGCATTTAAAAGTGAACATTTTAAACAGCAGGTGTTAAGTGCCCTCCACATTATAGTCATACTTAGATTTTGCATAAAGTCAGAAAGGTAACATGATTTCCTGAGATAATACCATAATTCCTATCCTTCAGAATGGAAGTGCATTTTAGATGAGAAAATAGAAAAGAATTGGTCTTGCCTGGCACAAATGTTATTGACGATTCCAGCTATTGTTACTACTGGACAAGTCAGAGCCTAGAATGAAATCTAGATTGATAAATTTAAAAAAAAAAAAAAAAAATTTAACATGGCAATGCTTCACTGAAGCGTAAGCACACAAGACTGCAGAATTGGTTTTAAACAATTAAACTGAAGTTTATTACACAAAAGAAAGGAAAGAAAAAAATACACAAGTAACACCAAGCTATCTGAAAACACAGCACAATAATATCCCATTTATTCCTTAATAGGATCACTTTACAGGTATCAAAATCCAGAGAAACTTTCCTTTCCTGTCTGTTTTTGACTTAACTGCTTTCTCTTAGTTCCCGTCCTGAGTTGTGAGGTCTGCACACTTTACTGCAATCTTGTACACATTCAAGCTCGTAAAATATCTGCAGATTTCTAAATAAGCACTGCCAGTCTGCAATCTTCACAAACTACACTCTTACACTGAGGCTCTTTGGGGAGCGCTTTGAAGAAGCTCCTTTTCTAGGAGCATTTGACTTCAGTTGAGTCTTCTTCAAACTGAACTCAAAAGCTCTTAGAATGAAACTAAAAAATACGTTCATCCTAGATTCTGCAAAAGCAAAAGGTTGAACGTTTTCTCTCTCCTGTTATAAACGCCCATAGTATAAACAAAATTCTATTAACACTTTGGGAGTCCTTGCCAAGAACCTGCTCTATGACATGTACAGCTTTAAAATCATGATTACAGAAAGACTGACTTATTTAATCTTTAAACCTATTCAGAAAATTAAACCAAAACCAAGGTCACAAAAAAAAAAATCACTATTTTGAAATAAAAATCCTTTCTAAAAAATGATATAATATCCATAAATTTCACACCTTTCCTCACACTTGCCACTAATCAGCCCAAACCTGGATGTTGTCCAGGTGTTGTGGGTATGGATATGGGCTGCCTCAGGACAAAAGTTGCAAATGGTGCCGAATATTGTGCAAACATCAGCAAATATCCCCACTTCTGACTTTACGTGGAGGGAAGGTCATGAATGAAGATGGTTGGACTTTGCTCACTACCCTGAAGAACTCTTGTGTTGATACCCCGAGGTTGCCAGTAAACAAGCAATTATCAAGTCATGTGAGCACCAAAAAATGCCTTGTTAAACCAAGTTCCAATGTCCTTTCAATTACCTCTTAGAAAAAGAACAATTCATAACCCTTCAATACTCAGGGTCACAAACATTACTTTAAATATAAACCCTCTGTCACATTTCCAGCCTTGAAAAGTGTAACATTTTAAATGTGCTTCATTATAAAGAATGGTCAAACACTTTTGCTCAGTCAGGATGACCTAAGTTCTGTCATTACATACTAGCTAGTGCATTCTTATCAGAAAAAATAACTGCGCTTGAGGGGCAAACACACTGGTTAAAAGCTCCCAATGCACCTGACAACCCCAATGCCATTATAATGAACCCTAAACATCTCCATCAGTTTCCATTATCTCCTTTTTTTTGTGGGGCAAGAGGAGAATAGTGAGATATAGGACTGTAACATTGCTGCTACGCAGAAATAGCTATAAATGTTTAATTACTTGGAAGATTAAAAATATATGATCAATAAGGCAACGTCAGTTTAAGTTGTATGTTGAATGTGATTTGAGATGTCAAGTTTGAGAAAGCCCAACTTGAAGTACACATACAGGTATAAAAAACTAAAATGAGACTGTTGGAGTGCTTAATTGACTCAAATCATCATATTCAATCTAGGACAGATTTATCAAATTTAGTTTATGAAAAAATATGATCAATCTTGCTTTTAGGAGGGGACAGATTGGCACACTTTTGCACAGATTGTCAAAATAGGCAAATAGCAAATTACAGAAAAAGGGAGTAGAAAATAATGGTTTTACATTTCACGGATTTAGAAATACCGTATATATTTCCAAACATTGTTTTTTTTCATTTAAAAGTGGGATACATGCAAAAGAAGTTCAAGCTGTAGTTGAAAAGACAAACACACAAGTAGCAATCTGTGAAATAAACCTGGTAAGAATGGCTGCTTTAGTGCGAAACAGCACTACAGCAAGAGCACTGGATATGAAGCAATCATTTGGAAGATAAGATTAAATGTTTTTCATTTTGTTTTTATCAATTGTAACAACTGAACACAGAAGAATGCAACACTGCATCACATCCCTTCTCAAACTAAGGTGGTATAAAAATATTTTAAAATTAAGGCACATTTAAACTTAACACTATTAGAGTCTCACAGGTAATTGTAACCCTCTGAAAACCACTACTCCATCACAGAGGGCTGAATGTTCAACCACTTCCTTACAAAGTACAGCAGATATATCATTGCCCAAATGATGAAACTATTAAATTGAGAATGCTGAATGAACTACAAGCTCAAAACAGCAAGTTTTCTGCAACTGACACCAAGCTAACTGGACGAACAACAAAATTTTGTTCCAGCCACTATTGCCTGCTTATTTTCAAAATTAATTGATTTCACATTTCTTAAGTAACATTTACTACTAAGATTTTCTAAGCACTATTTTCTGAAACATAAGCACGTGAACAGTTGTCTTTTCTGGAGGCTAAGAGATGGAGAAAGTCAAGGGGCTTTGGTGGATAATTGCAATATCTGGCCTGGGCTGTTGGAGCCACAACTGACAATTCTGGGGTAAAGAGGAAGGAGAAAGGTCAGAGTCAAAGGAATGCAGAGTTCAAAGGTTAAGTAATCTTCGAGGAGGATGATAGCAACACCACAGACCTCAATGCACAGGGCTCAGAATTTTACATTGGACCCATTTTGGACCAGAAATAATGCAAGTCAGCAAGGATAGGGACGAAGAATGCATAGGAGGTGGAGAGAATTATGGAAGAGTCCTCAATGGCTTTAAATTGACTGAAGGTCTAGGTGAGGAACTTAGCCAGAAGAGTGCTGAAATAATCGAGTCGGTTGGCTGGTAGGTGTAGGGCGGGGGATTGCACAGAAGCATGAATAAGGGTTGCAAATGTACAATGAGAGATTAGAGAGGAAACACAGTGACAAGGCAGTAGGCTTTTTGATCATGAGTTCAGGTTAGTTTGAAGACAGTACAAAATTACTCACTTCAAGAAGGCTGAATAACAGTAGAAGGGTATTAGAGGATGGATGATCAATCACATTTAGGTTGTACAGAGACGGTAATGTAACATGGTCATAGTTGTGGCAAGATGTAATACATGATTTTGCTTAGAGCTATTTAAGCGCTTTTATGAGAACAAAAAGATTGGAGACAGTCACAAGGAGGAACAACACACATATGGGAGGTGATAAATGTTGAAAGATTTAATGCTGTCATCAAGGAACAAAATTTTTGCTAAAATCACAATTCAAAAATATCACAGCAAGGAATCTATTTGCAGTCTTTGGAGGAGTCCAGATGAGGTCAATTAGTGCAGAATAACAAAAATTTGCAAGAAAAATGTCGAACTATATGGCCTAACAGTACTGGATAAAGTAAAATAGATTTTAAATAAATATGTAATTCTTTAGTCAGTTTAGGTTTTGAAACCAATAGAAAGGACTGATTGAAAGCAGCAAAAGACAAATTACAGAGACAGTAGGAACTGCTGATGCTGGAGAATCTGAGATGACAAGGTGTAGAGCTAGATGAACACAGCAGGCCAAGCAGCATCAGAGGAGCAGGAAAGCTGACATTTCGGGTCTAGACCCTTCTTCAGAAATGGGGGAGGGGACAGGGATTCTGAAATAAAATAGGGAGAAAGGGGAAGGCAGATAGAAGATGGATA